GGTAAACATGTTAGGAATATGTGGACTTTTTTGTTGTTAACAATTCATCATGGGCATGGAAACGTACTTGGAATGGTGTTTCAAAGTTTTGGGGATCCACTAATTTGGGAAGACCGAAGGAAAGATGTTGTTAAATGGCTAACCAAAGTGTAAAGTGTATGAGTTATCAATCGGTTCTTTTCCAAGGGACTATGAAATTCTCGTTAACCAACTTAGATGGTAAAAATGTCGATTCCAAAATCCATAATCTCCTTAACGATATCAAGATATACTAACTTAGAAACTTGTGTGTACGATATAATCAAAAATCGGCTCAAGACCAGTTGGTGAATCCATAATGAAATGTGGAGCAAATAAGTAAAACCTATAGCTATCAAAATACAAAGCAAGAAATTTTGGTGACGCAGGGTTAAAACATAAACCACGAAAACCGATTCTAGACCCTTAAACCGACTAACAAAACCAAGAAACATTGACATGATGCAATGAGCAAGAGATGAGGTCAAAGGAAAATGCTACTGACGGAACTATCATCATGGACACGCCAAATGGTCTCACCCAGAAGATTAGCCACCGATAAGATTGTTAACTGCGGAAAGTAATTCTTCTCAGCTATTGGTAATGTGTTTGTCACTATCACTTCTTGAAGCAAACCACCCGATAATCGTTCTATCGCAGGCGGGCTTCAATTCATTCATTTCAAACAAAAAGAAATGCTTAAGAAAATAATGATTTTGAGACTCTTCATGAACAAAATACCGGTTAATGGGTTACCTGAAAACAGCATGCGTGCAGCACGCATAGACCTCCCGAGCACCCTCCTGGTGTAACAAAGCTGCTCCTTTTACAATGGTTCCTGAAAACAAAAAGAAAAAAAACACAACAAGAATGGTTCGAAGAGGATTCGGCCTGAAAAACGAGAACAGGTTTTTAGTGATCTTGATGGATAATACGAAAACTGGAAGCTTGGTTTGCCGGTAACACGTTTCTTGAAAGATTAAGATTTAGCCAGCTCCACACTGTTTTTTACTAACCAGCAGTATCAATCATGTCATCCACCATTACTGCCACCTTCCTTCTTACATCACCAATTAGGTTCATAACCTGCAAGGAAAGTATAATGAATGTGAAATCGAGGGGAAGCAACTCTGACTTTGAAAGAAAGGGATAAATTAGTTACCTCAGCAACATTGTGTCCATGACGCCTTTTATCGACAATGGCAAGTGGCGCATCTGATAATTTCTTTGCAAAAGCGCGTGCCCTGGCTACTCCACCAACATCAGGAGAAACCACTACCAAATCCTCTGAGGAAATTGACTTACTAGCAAGATAATCAAGTATCACCGGCTGAAAAAATTTAAACACATAACGGGTAAAAGGTATTATTATACAAAAAAGGATCATACACACACAGTGCATAGAGAGGAAAGGCCGTAGCTATCAAGAACGTGGCTTTAGAGATGTACCTGGCAGTACACATGGTCGACTGGAATGTCAAAATAACCCATTGACTGTCCTGAATGAAGATCACATGCAAGAACTCGATCTGCACCAGCTTCCGTGATAAGATTTGCAACCAATTTGGCAGCAATGGATTCACGCCCTTGTGTCTGCAAGCAACAAAAAGATACATAAGGTTATATCAAGCAAAGATCACTGATTACTGATTAGCTTCAAGATATCTAAGTGGTCAAAGTAGGTAATATGTTTACCTTCCTGTCAGCTCTTGCATATCCAAAATACAGAATCACGGCTGTTACTTTCTTGGCAGATGCTCTCCGGCAAGCATCTACCATAATAAAAAAATCTCCATGAGATTCTCATTTGTCGGAGTACAAGTAGGCTGCACCAAATAGACATCACATCCCCTAACAGTCTCTTGTAGCTGAACATAAATCTCTCCATCAGCAAATCTCTTAATGTTAATCTTCCCAAGCTCCAAGCCCATATACCAAGCAATTTCTTGAGCAAGTGNTGGATTTGCAGTNCCNNNNAACAACTTCAACCTGGTATTAGTTCTATTGACCGATTTCTCCATCCGAGCAGATTCCAAGAACTTTGGAAGTGTCCTCTCATTAATAATTGGGATACTGGGGTTCCCATTTCCCACATTCAATGACTCGGGCAGATCACATTTCTAGCAATAACAAAAACAAACAGTTTTGGAATTGTGGTTTAACCAAATTCACACCAATCTTTAACCAGAGGTTCATATATGTACTTCTGTTCATGGATGGTAAACAATACTCATCAAACGAATGCATCCACATATCCACATGCCATTGCCTAAAGTAACGACCTCATTATATATAGTGACATTCGCATAAACAAACAAATTATGACGAAAGAGACAACCTTTGTAGCTCATGTACCTATTAAATTTAAAGTCCTAGAAATTCAAAACCGGACAAGACTGGTAATAATAGGCTCCACTCAATCTAGGAATCAAAGTGCTTACAACAGAAGCGAAGACAGAGTTTCGGGAGCGAAACTGAGAGGTCCTGAAGGAGAGAGAAGAGCATGAGGAGAAGAAAGTCGAGGACGAAGAGGCCAGATACGACGACGTTTTGGCGGCAGTAGGATACGACAGAGCCAGAGACGCCATTGTATAGATGTCACCAGCAATGAACCTGAACCCACCTCTGGCTCAAGCAGTATTAAACTCTCCAACAACGGATTCGGTGAATTAGGGTTTAGGGTTTATGGATTGAGCAGACTAGAGTGAGAAGGAAGAAGAAAAGAAAAGCTTTATGC